TGGGAGAGCCAGGGGGGGGGGTGGCCGGGCTGGGCAGGGAGGAGGAGGTGGCCGGCAGGGTGGCAGGGCTGGGAGCCTTGTCGCTGACTGACTCACACTCGGACGCCCCGCTGGTGTTGGTGCCCTCGGAGGGAGTGGGCCCTGTGGGCAAGGTGAGCCGCTTGCAGGCTGGCTGGACTCGGTACTTGAGGGGGAGAGGACCGTTCTGCGGGGACAAAAAGAGGAGAGGGCAGGGAGGGGTCAGGAGAAAGAAGTGGGCAGGGGAGCCCTCTGCTGACCCCTCAGTGCCCAGCCACGAAAGAGGGAAGGCAAGGAACCGAGGGGAGCAGAGCAAGGCCAAAGAGACAGGGACACGCAGAGAGACAGAGAATAAGGCCAGAGACCTGGGGAGGGAAAAAACACAGAAAGCAACATGTCCCACTCTGCCGCCACCAGAACCAATTTCTCCTCTTTTTGTCCCCAAATCAGGGCATGCAACCCAGGAAGGCTTCTTCCTCCTGAGTGTAGGCGGTCACTAGCAGATGGCCAGAGGCCGATCTGGTGTGGCAGGCCAGCCTAGACCTGCTGTGCTCCTGGGACGAGGGAGGGATGATCAGCGATCTGGGGCCGGCCCAGGCGTGGCTGCTGTGGCCACAGGTCAATGCCAGACCCTGCGGGCACCGCTCCCCTCCCGGCTCCACCCTGCACAGCTCCGGCTGGCTCACCCGCCGCCAGGGGTAGATGTAGGCGATGTCCATGAGGGTGTAGTACTCCTTCAGTGGCTCATCCTCATACAGAACCTCCACCTGCAGAGAAGGGACACCATCACCCTGCCAGCCTCGGCTGCCTGGCCAAGACACTCCAAGCCGGGAGTCGGATGGGAGGTGCAGCAACAGGAAGGGTGGACTTGCAAGTTTCTCTGGGGTTTTGCTGTGGACTTCCCTATCAGCCGTCCTGACCATCAGGTGGGAAGGGATGCAGAGGGGACAGTCCCACTGGTGACGACCCCTGCCTCCAGCCATCCAATGTCTGGGTCCCCTCCTATCCCTGTGGGCCTCCTACAGGAGCTAGTGGTCAACCTAGATGCATGGCAGAATCCCCCAGGGAGCTCTAGAGAATACCAGTTCCTGCATCTCGGCCCCAGAGATTCAGATTTACAGGGAAAGGCGGACGGCGACTCGTCTGATTCTAACCCAGGAGTTTAGGATCACTGCCCCAGAGCCTCGCTACTCCTAAGTGCGGTCCTTGGACTGTCAGCACAGGCAGCACCTGGGTGCTCGTGAGGAGTGCACAATCTACTGCTGCCTCAAATCTGCGCTTAAAACACATTTTTAAAAATTTAACTTCATTCGTTATTATTTTCCAATTTGACCAGACAGAGAAAGTGGGAAAGTGAGAAAGGAAGCCACCAGGTCCGAGACTTGAACCATGGTTGGCCATGTGGGAGTCCAGCGCCTTTAACCACCATGCCACCTGCTAGCTTCTCAGATCTGCTTTTGAACAAGGACCATACACACATTCAAGTTGGAAAAGCGTGTCCCAGAGTTCCTTTAGAATTCCAGATGGCCTTCCCACAGCTAGCCAACCCCAGATAAGGCTCCATTTCTGCACACAGCCCTGCACCATGGTTCTGAGTGTGCAAGCGTGCATGCGTGCACACGCCTCTCATCTTCATCCCATGCCCCTCTGCACACTGGCATCAGCTGACATGGCAGCCCCAGCCTATCTTGGTTTCAACTACCCTTAAGCCCTTGGTGACACTTAGCCAGGCCTGCACAATGGCTGTGTGCAGCCTCCCTCTCTCTCCCTCTCTCTCTCTCACACATACACACACAGACACTCATTTTGTGAAAGGCCCCAGGCCTCACCTTGTACTTGCTGGGCACATCCATCTTGTTGCGGAGAAACTTGGCGAGATGCATGACGGTCATGGCTGCTGGGCACCGTAGGAAGCGAACCCCCGTCTGCTGGGGAAGAGGCACCCATGGGGCAGGGTCCACCTAGGCCACTCTTGCTGCCCACGGCCCCACTCCTGGGCAGGTTCCAGCACTTACCTTCTCCTTGTCTCCATCCCCATTCTCCAGGGGGCCCTTCTTCTCCTCCCGGTCCCTGGAGTGGAGAAAGAGGAAGCTAGGGAGGCCCTGGAGCAGCAGGGCCTACTGATGCACAGGTCCGGGGACCCTCCCAGGGGAATGCCAAGTCTAGGTGAGAAGCGGGGGACCAGCCTAGAAGCCGGACTTGCCTGACACCTTCATAGAACTCGATGGAGAGGCTGACAATCTCGTCGTCGCTCAGAGCCCCCTTCTCCTGCTCTAAGACCTCGCCACGGTCCTCATTGGAGCCATTGGGGACTGCAGGAGGAGAGACCGTGATGGGGAAGGGGGATGATGGCCCAGTGTCTGCAGTGGGGAGGCCAGTGGGCAAGTAGAGGAGAGGCAGCCCAGTACACCAGCCCTCCTGGCCAGGGGTAGCAGGGTACGCTCACATGGTCCCAGGCCTAGGAGCTTGTGCACACACAGGCACACACGTGTGGCACATGTGCACACTCACCCTCTGTCAGCGGGTACGCTGCATAGAAATCCCGTCGCCGTTTCATCTCATCTAGAAGAAGGAAGTGGGTAAGAGAGGGCAAGGGGCTAGGCAACAGGGGCAGAGGGCACGAGGAGGGTGGGGATGTAGGTACCTTTAAAAAGCCCAGGAACCAATTTGTAGACAATGTCTTGGAGGGTTTTGTCAGATCTGGGGAAGAATGTACAAGGGCATGTCACCAGCCTCCCTACATGAACTCTTCCACCCCTTCCCAGACCCGGCGCCCACCTGATGCTCAGCAGCGGTCGGGTTTTGTGGACCTGCACGTCACACATGGGGCAGTATTTGTTGGTCTCCAGGTAGCGCACGATACAGGTTTTGCAGACTTGGGGACAGGAGAGGAGCGTCAATGCCTCCCCTCCTCCCTAGGCCAGCCCCACACCCTCTGCTCAGATGCTGTGTCCCCTGTCTGCCCTGTCCCTGTGGTTCTGGCTCCTTCACAGACCCAGTATGGTGATGTGTGTTGTACACTGGGCAACTATGCCTTGGTGACCCCGGCTGGATCTCGTATGCGTGTGTGTGTGCGTGCGTGTGTAAGAGAGAGACGGACAGGCTGGCGTTACGTAGATCCTAAGTCCCCCATCGGAATAAGAAACAAGAGCCTGTCCGTCAGATAGCCCTTGGGTTTCTGACCCCTTCCGCCAAGCCCACAGTGTAGACATGGACATCACATCTTCAGGGGCTGAGAGTCAGCCAGAGAACCAGGAGAGAACGGAGGTTTCACATGCATGTCCCTGAAAGGAACTTCCGCACTGAGGCCCCCTCGCCCCCATTGCCCCCATCGCCCCTTCCAGGCAGTCTCTGTGTGCTCAGCGGGGCAGGGGCTTGTGTTCCCTCGTCCCTGGGCAGGGCCGGGGGTGACCTGACTCACAGGAATGCAAGCACTCCACAATGGTGGTGGCGTCGATGAAGTACCCCCCGCAGAGGGCACACATGAGGTGAGGGTTCAGCTCCGTGATTTTGATCCGTGTGGTCCGATGCATGGTGCCAGGGTCGGGGCTGGGGGAACTGGGGAGCGTCACCCTGGGAAAGGGAGGCAGGATCAGAAACTCAGAGATCCAACAAGCCCTCCCACGCTCCATTCCACACACCCGGCGCAGCTCTCCCTGAGCCCAGGCCCTTCTCTGCCCTCCAGGTGGGACGGGGCACACATGCACATGGCAGGTGCTTTCTGGAGGCTCCCGTAACCTTGAGCAACAGGGTCCTGCTCTGTCTCAGGAGTTAGGCCACAGGAAGTACTATGCCACTCTCCAGAGGATGTGGGGGGTAGAGAAAGCAGAGAACAGGGCTTTATTTTGGAGAGGTTTTTGCTATAAGGCAATGTGCACTCGCCAGAAAGCAAGAAATCACCACACCACACGCCCCCAGGGCGGATGGCCACACCACAATCCCTTCTCCTCTATTCTCCTCTTGGGATCTTGGGCACACACGCACATGCGCCCGGCGTGAGTTTAAGCCACCGGGTCTGGGACTCAAACCATAGTCAACTACATGGGAGTCCAGAGACGTAGCCATCACGCCATCTGCTCGTGAGAACAGGGCTTTGTAAAATTTCCCGGCTCCTCATCAAAGTGGTCAAACACTTAGTAGGAGTTATGAGAAACAGATAAACCAGGGCCCTGAACTTCACGGAATAAATAAAAGGGAAGAATACCTTATCCCCACTCCGTCTACCCCCTACCCGGATTCAAGGCCTCAGACGTGGTCTTTCTTTCTTTTGCAAAGAATTATTTTATTTAACTTTTTATTTGTTTATTTTTTAATGTGACTAGAAAGGGACAGAGACAGAGAGAGAGAAAGCAAGCAGCCAGGTCCAGGACTTGAACGGTAGTCGGCTGTGTGGGAGTCCAGCGCCCTTAACCACTACGTCACCTGCTGGCCCCAGACGTGGCCTTTCTACTCCACCTTCCCTCTTTACATTCCATCTACTCTCCCCTCCTCCAGGAAGCCTTCCCTGGAAACATGGGCACTGGCTGCCCGAAGTACAAAAGTGGCACCCATCACTTGCCCTCTGGCTTAGTGCCCAGCCAATGCCCCAGAGAGCCTCACTTCTCTGTGTGCTGTGTACAGGCAGCTCCCTGCACATCTGCCATAAAATGTCCACTGAGCTTCCAGGCCTGGTACACGTGCAGCAGATGCTGAGGATGGTCCCTACATGCCCAAAGTCGGGCACATGCAGCTCCTGCCAGACCCCAGACCCAGTTCTGTGGCCTAATGTTGCAGGGAGCCAGACCCCACATGGCTGACCACATGGTTTGAGTCCTAGACATGGTGGCTTGGAAAATACTTCAGGCACATGTGCACGTGTGTCCCAACTCCTTCCAAAAGGGAAATGGGGACATGAAGACGGGATCACAGTGTGACCACAGAAGGGACTGCAACTGACCACACTCTGTGGAGTGGGTGCTTTCTCTCTCTCTCTCTGTCTGGTGAGCACCAGAACCCTCTGGCAATTTAAAAAAAAAAAAAAAAAAAGGAGGGGGGGCCTGAACAAAAAGACTGCTCCCACCCAGCCACGGGAGTCCTGCTGCCATACCTCCGTGGGCAGCTCACTGTACCAGGATGCCCCACTTGGGCACTGTCACCCTCCCACTGCCTCCTGCCCTGGTGACACCCCTCCCATCTGTCCGCAGGCTGTCCAGCAACAGCCCATAGGCCCGTGTGGAAGCCCGCCAAAGCTGGGGGGGAGAGTTTACCCCAGGCCCACCTGCACTCCCAACGGCCTGGCAGGGTCTGGAGCAGTCGGTCAAGGCCCAGCTGCCAGGCTGACTGGTTAAGGTAGACATCAAACCTGTGCCGAGAAGGGGCAGCCCCTCCGCCTCTTTCCCAGAGTGAAAGCCCAGGGGTGGGGCTCGGGGGGGGGGCCAAGCCCTAACATCTCCTTTACAACTTACTCACACCCTTCTCTCCTTTCCAGAGAGATTTCTAAAGCCACCACCCTGGGTTTTCTAGGACAAGAAATTCACAGCCGGGATCAGCAGTTTCTATAGAGACCCCAGGATGAGTCTGGCCAGAACCCAAACAGCCACAGAGGCCCAGGGAACCTGGCCAGAGACTGAAAGAGATGGAGAGACACAAAGGCCACACGTGGAAGAGACACCAAGGTGCAGGGCAGACACGGGAAACGAGCCAGCCGAGCCAGCCCAGAGACCTAGCCCAGAGGCCGTGGCCTCCAGGGACCTGCGGAGCCACCTGAGGAAGGGAAGGGGTTCCCAACCCACGGAGGGTTGTCCCTTAGCCAGTTGTCCCTGCACGGGTCCCCCCTTTACAATTGTGCAGAAGGCTGCTGGCTACTCTACTGTTTGGTCGTTTCCATAGTAACCCTGTCCCTGGCAGGATGCCCAAATATTATTACAACCATCCAGAGAAGAGAACACACTCCAAGTGGCTGTCTCTCCGAGCGTGTGTAGCCTCCGCTGTCCGCGTACGTGCCGCCGGGGCCTCCAAAGGTACGCCACGTGACCGCCTGTCCTGCGTGTCTGTGTGCGGATGTCTGTACGTGTGCGCACACCGCCAGAAACAAAGCGTGCTGGGGTCTGACGATGCTGGATGGCCACCATGCAAGGGGCAAATTTCCTACCCCCATCTCTCCCCACCCCATTTATACACACACACACACACACAAGCTTTTCACACAGCCTCAGCCACCACATTCACACACTTGCTGTGTTTCCAAAACAGTCACTTACTCTTAAGAACTGCCCCCCCACGTGAGCCCCTCACCCTCAGTTCCTGGAGCATTTGCAAAAACGCAGACCAGACTGTCCCTCCGGGCCCTTCCTGGACAGAGGGTAAGAAAGCACAGTGGGGCTGCTGAATGCAGGCCTCCTCCCCTTTCCAAAAGGAACCCTTCCACCCTCCACCCCCTCTCCAGGGGCCTGAGTGTTACCCCTGGGGTTGGGGGTGGGGAGAAGTACTGATTGGCTCCTCACCTGATTGCCATGGTTACCTGCAGGGCCCTGCCAGCAGGTGCCAAGAGCAACTGTAAACAGGAGCTGTTCCCCAGAGCACCCCTCCCATCTCCTCCATCCCTGGAGCCCCACATTTCGGACACCCAGATCCTCCCCAGCTGCCACTGGCCGGCATGTTGCAGGAAGGAGAAGGAAGAGGGGTGATGGAGGCTGGGTGTCAGCTGTCATCACTTTAGGGAAGGTCCTGAGGGAGAAAGCCTGGGAAGCAGAAAAGTAGTGCCAGGGCCATCTAGAAGTGGCTTCTGGGGGTCCCCCTAGTGACTGAGCACTGTCTCCATCCCCAGTTCCACTTTTCCCCCACCCCACCCAGGGCCAAGCCTTGCACTGTCTTCTGTCCCAGCAAGTTGTCTTTGCAAAGGTGTGACCCTCGGGCAGCCCTGCTCCTGGTGCCCGCCATTGACAACCGGCATCCAAGCCTGACCCCTCCTTGCCACTCAAGCCAGGCAGATGTCTTGCCTCCTCCTCAAAGCCCCTTAATAGGGGAACCAGCAGTTAGCGTAATGGCTATGTCACTGGACTCCCTCGTAGTCGACTGCGGTTCACGTCCTGGACCTGGTGGCTTAAAACTCGCGCCGGGCGCATGTGTGTGCGTGTCCAGGATCCCGAGAGGAGAATGGAGAAGGGATTGCGGCGTGGCCATCCCCCCTGGGGGATGATTTCTCACTTTCTGTCTCTCTATCTCTGTCTGTCTGGCGAGCGCACGTGCCCTATAGCAAAAACCTCTCCAAAAAAAAGAAAAAAGTCCCCTAACAGAGACCACCGCCATCTGTTTTAACTAGTCTGTGTGGACACTGTCCTGTGGCTCGGGCTTCTCTCACTCAGTTTCTCCTTTCTCCGCTGAGAGTGGGTCTCAGCTGCTAATGCTGCACCCAGCAGCCAGGACGACAAGGGAAACCAGGGTTCACTTACTGGTAGCATCAGAGGCCCACCATGGTGGCCCACACCTGCAGTCCCAGCAGGGAGGCCGAGACAGAAGAATCTCACATGGTGAGCCTCTTTAAAAAATCCTAGCGGGTCTGGGGTAAGCCCGGGGTCCCTCTGCTCCTTGGGACCTGCCATAGCACTCTCTGTCTGCCTGTTCCCTGAATGAAATCAGCACAACTCCCTCACTAGTGGGACCTGGGTCTCTGTAAAAGTCCCTCAAGGTCACACCCAGACATCCAGAATAGCCAAGGTGAAAGGCATTCAGAAAGCTTCTCGTCCAACCCTTTCATTTTATGGAGAAACTCAGAGTGAGCGACTTAAGGTTCCGCAGAGAAGCAGCGGCAGGCCTGGGCTGGCGGCTGCCTGGCTCCTCTCAGCAGAGCAGCTAACAGGCCTGGCCTCCCGGGACCAGGCTGGTGGAAGGCAGAAGGCCATTGGAGACCGCTCGGTGTGCCTCCTGGGAGTCAGCGTCTGGCCCAGGTGTGAGCACTGTTACACGCGCTCACCTGGAAGCAGGAAGAGAGGCAGAGATTCATCTCCTTGCCCGTCTTACACACGGGAAACCGAAACTCCGTGGTAGCGCGGTGGGCCAGAGTGTAGCCCAGGGACGTAGACTCTCCCTTCCTCGCCCCGCCGTCCAACCCTGCAGACTGTGCATTTGCGTCTGGGGCCAATGGGAGTCTGCCTAAGGATACTGTGGACCTCCCCACTTTCCCTGACCTGTGACACTAGCACAAGGATCTGCTCCCCTGCACCCTACTCTCAAGCACCAAAAAAGCTTCTAGCCTCCCAGAGCTGGGCTATTCTACCCTCCCCCCTCCTACTTCCCAGCAACCTCAGAGCAAGGACAAAAACCCAAAATATACACAGAGCAACACCTTGCTGGACACACACCCCGCCAGACACACCCCCTCCATCTCTCACACCACACAAATCACAGACGTGCACACACACACCAGACACACCCCACCATGTATGCAGCCAGTTCAGTGCTGGGCCCACTTGCTACATGGCAAGCCATCCCCGCCCACCCCGCCTACCCCACTCCGAGGTAGGCGGCCTGACATCCCTGCCTGAAACCAGAGCCGCAAACACACACTAACCTTTTGTGCATCCCTGGTCCACCCCAGGGCCAATTATAACCTAAGTCTTCCGGCAACAAAGGCAGTGCAGCTCCCAACCTCCACTGGGGGTGGGCCAGAGGCTGGAGGGCTGCGGTGGGCATCTGACCTGCACAAAGATGTACCCTCTTCCTGTTCAGGCTCTCGCCATTCCCATGGCAACAGCTCCATCAACCAAGAGCTCTCAGGCCAGGCCAGGGGCAGCAGAGAATCCCCTTTTCTGCCACCCCCTTTTCTCCCAAGACTTCAACTTGAACCCTACTCAGCTACACATGGTCTGGATCCAGGGGTCTGTTTCCTGCTTCATCTCAAAGACTGTTCTAAGTCCCCGACCCCAAATCGAGGGAGCCCCTGAGAAAACCTGCCCACTGAAACGCTCCAACAGAGCGGGCTTTATGTTCCTTCTCCAAGTCATAACACCTTGGAAAGGAGAGGAGGGAGGAGGAAGGAGGGAGGAGAGAAATTAGTTTCAGGAACAGACAAACTGCTAGAGGCCCAGAGGAGGAGCCATCAGTACAGCGCAGGAGACAACTAAAGACGCCCCCTCCCCCCAGGGGCTGGGCGCCCTGGAGAGACTGAGGCAGCGTGTGTGTGTGTGTGGTGAGTGTGTTGTGTGTGGTTGTTTGGGATGGGGGGGGGGAACCCCTCTGGGAGACAAAGACCTCGGGGAAGGATAGAGTAACACTTCCACAATACTTAGAGGCAAAAGTACTTAGCCCCAGGCCTCCTCCCCTTCAAGCCAACGGGAGCAGTTCTGGGCAGATGGGGGCCGAGGGGGGAGGGGAGGGGCATGCCCAGGACCCCCGTGGAGGCCAGAGGGCGGGGTGCAGGAGGGGGTGTTTGCCAGGGGGTCCCACTTCCTCTGCGTTAACGGCAGGGGGGTCTGAATAGCGAGAGCAGCAGGGCTCCCCAAGCAGGAGAGGCGGGTT